TGTTTTCTTTTGTTGACCTGAAAAATCTGATGAAAATCTTGTTCCACTTCCCAACTGCACTTCCATCTATCTTATCCTATTATCCTAAAAGCTTTCCCAAAAAAATTTTGTACCAAATTGAAGCCTAGTGAATGCCCAGCAAAGGAGAGAAAACAGGGAAGAAAAGTGAAAAAGTGGGGAGGAAGGAATGCGAAAGGTAACAGCCAAGACTGAGCCCTGTGTCACTTATAAAAACAAAAAATATCTCAAAATTTTGCTTTATGGAACAAAAAGTCGTGAATTTCATGACCTGAAAACAGTTTTTGGTAAGTTTTAGATCTTAATAGCCACTACAGTGACCAGAAAACAGCTTGACTTGCTTCAAAAAGTGTTTTTTGGTAAAATTCTCAGGGGTGAATGGGCTAAGTGACTTGATGTTACAGCATACAGTTGACTCCCAATAACTCGAACCTTCAAGGGAAATCAAAAAAAGTTTGAGTTATCGGGAGTTCAAGTTACTGGGAGCTCGAAGAAAATAGCCGGAAGTAAGGAAAAAAAACAGTTTTTACTGCACAGTGAACATTTTAATCACAGTTAATTGTAGAAATGGTGAGTGAAAATTGAAACATATATTTCTAGATTATAAATCAGAACGTAACCTAACAAAGTGTTGTCTAAATAGAGCATATGTTTTACTGTTTTGAGAAGTGAACCTGTTTCACGTTAGGTTTGTGACAAACAACATCAGCCTCTTCTAGTAACCTATATGCCTACAACATGTCAATGGGAAATTCAAAATTCAATGTTTAGGATACCAGTAGACTATTTTTTTCCCAACTTTTTAGGGGCTCAAAACATGGTTCAAGTTATTGAGGGTAAAATTATATAGAAATAATCTGAGGGGAAACAAAAACTACTTTGAGTTAGCAGGAGGTTCAAGTTATCGAGGGTTCGAGTTACCAAGGGTAAAATTATTAACAGTAAATGTACGATGGAAAACCAGGGGAAATCAATTTTGGTTTGAGTTAACGCGAGGTTCGAGATAGTGAGGGTTCGAGTCAACTTTATATAGTCTGGAGTTAATCTTTATTGCAGTTATCATTATCACTATCATTAACATTATCATAGTTGTCAACATCAATATAATTTTTCACTACTAGTCTTGGTTTGATTATGGATGTATTGATTTCATTTCAGTAAAATCAGTTCTTGATCTATTTTTAGCTTGAGCTGGCTACACTGGCAGGAAAGTCTCATAAGGAGCTATCACCAATATATGTTTCTTTAGCAATAACTTATTTTGATCTAAAGTGTCCGGCTGATGCCATCAACTGTTACATGGAAGAGTTGGAAATAATGGAGGAGGACAATTACAAAGAGGTGAGTCATAAATGACAAATATAAGTGCTGCCTTTTCTTTGTTAACAGCTTCTTTTTGTGTGCTTGGATGACAATGTAAAAGTTCTGGTTCCTTTGTAAAAACATCTTTCTCAGTGAATAGATTTCAGATTTTTGAATTTTTTGCACTATTTCAAGAAGTTACTACAAAAAATACAATACATAACTAAAGTAAGAAAAATAAAAGAACAAATTACATAAATCATCAAAGGTTAAATGTGCGCAGTGACCAAAGGTGCTTATTAAAGCTTTTGAGTTGGTCACCGGACCCGCCACGTGCAACTAACTGGTGTAGGCATGTACATAAAAGACTACAAGTATATAAATACATTGACACCTGAATTAAACAATTATTGATGGACTCCATTGTTGTAACCACAGTTCCTCGTTTTTTTCTGACCTTACATCTTCTTGTCTTGTGTCCTGAGTCTTTGTTTCTTCTAAACTCCTCATGACAGATGTGTGATACTTGGTGTAATATTGCTTATGTTCATGAGAAGGCAGGACACGAATATGATGAAATCAAAGATGCTTACAGTAGGGCACTGGGATATGCGGAGCAGTCTGGCAAGCTCTCTTCCGTGGTAGGATTTGTGGAAAAATACATAAAATTGTAAAACGTCCCTCATACCCCTCCCTTAATCCAACATTTTGTCCTATTAAGTTGGCTGAACACAGTTTTGGCAGTTTGTGATTGTATGTCATTTGCCAAATCATGGCAAGGAAAGGTTGCTGCTCACAAGCTGAAACTTGGCAAGTGAAAAGTGTACTGATAAAAGATTTTGACTGACAGGTAAAAATTGACGTTTTCATAGTTTCCACGGCAACATGAACGATTGAATACAACCTTAAACTTTCACTTTTTCTCAGTTTGCATAAAATTTGCTCATTAGATTTTCTTATTAACTTTCACACAGCTTACTATAATTAATCATTACCATTTGAAACTTATTTGACCAAATTTTAACAGATGCGTTTTTAGATAATCAATAATTATTTTAGTTGTACTGTAATTATTAAATGTGTTACAAAATTCGTCTGTTCAACTTCCATTTTAAAATTGTAATGAATAAATTTTGAGAAATACTCTTCTGTGTACCGTTGCTTTTTCACCCCCATGTTTGTTTGTCTAATTTAAAACTTGCGCCATCACGCAAGTTACCGCTGACTGCTTGCAAAACTGTGTTCAGCCACCTTGAAGGAGTTAGTGTTAACAGTGGGTTAGGGGAGGGAGGGTGGGTAGATTCCAAGAATATCAGGCTGGTGTAGATTTTGTTAACTCTTTACACCCTAATGGTAATCAGCCTCAATCGTCTCTTCCTTATATCCCTGGCAAATCCAACATTTGTTTTCCTTGCTTGCTACTTGTGTGTTACTTGTAGTGTTATTAAAACTGGAAGTGATTATCTTTGAACTCTGTTTCACAGCTGAGAGTTTGGAAATGCCTGGCCGACACACAGAAAATTCTAAACCAGAAAGATGATTGGAAAAAGTCATTTGGCAAGGTTACAGAGCTTGAAAATCAGTTAAGTATGGGGAAGGTGATTGATGAGGATGACGAGGAAAGGAATAGCATTGAGGATGATGATGATGATGACCTGATAGAAAAAGAACTGCTTCTTTCTGATTCAGGTAAGTGGTATTATGTTGGATTTTTAAGCATATTTTCCTTTGCAATGACTCCAGTTTGAGACTACAACCTGTTAATGTTACAACAGTTCACATAAATGTTTCAGCTGCACTATCCTGAAGTAGTCTGCTACACAGCCGTTTGCATGACGACACTAAAAACGGCTGTGTAGCAGACTAATCCTGAAGTGGATAAGGGTCAAATTGGTTAGAAACAAAAATGTTGGGAAGTTCACTTTGCACTGTATTTGCTGTCCTGGCGTCACCTAGATGCAGTTGTTTTGGGAAATGAGGCCGAAAAAATTAAATGTACCTGCTGAGTTATTTAAGGAGTGTTATTTTACATGCTGTTTTCTTTTTTTATCTAGAAGGAAAATAGGATAATGATTGTTTGTTTGTTCCTTCCTCTGTTCTAGATGATGATTGTGATGATGATGAAGAAGAGGCCGGTCCCAGAAAGAGGAATAATCCAGTTTCATCAAGACTAAGAAGAAAACAGGTTTGTTGAAGAAAAACAATAGATAACCTAGATTATTCACTGGTTTTCCTAGCCTCAGTTACTCGCATCAGTCTGTGAACTGGAGGTTTATTTATTCTTAAGTGCAATTTATCCTTCTGCTTGCAGCGCAAACTTGTAAATGAGAAAGGTGAGACTCCACTGCATGAGGCTGCTATTGCTGGAAATACACAGCGAGTGAAATCACTGTTAGAAAAGGTATGGGTAATTTGTTTCTGCTGTTCTTTAACATCAAGCTTTCACTAGGCGGTGGTCCTGGGATAATATAAGTTGTGAAAAGCCAAATCAGTATAACCACTAGGATATCTTTTCAATGCACATGGCTTCAACTGCTTTCACCCCTGATGAGAGACATCAAGTCTATGCAATGCTGGTTATTAGCAACAGGGCACAAACATTTCCTGGCTTTTTTGGCCCAGTGAGCAATACAGTCTTAACGTACCAGACAATGTTAAAGCTTGTCACTTATAGAAAGATTTTGGCACCCATAGTGGTGCAAATTCACCCCTAACCTGTATTCCAGTCATTCCAATAAATACATCATGGAAGTCCTATAGTTGCTGTAAACATTTTTATTAAATGTCACTTTTAATTCTTAAGGGAGCTGACGTAAATGCAAGGGATTATTGTGGTTGGCTGCCCCTTCATGAAGCCAGCAACCACGGACATACAGGTTTGTGAGACAGTTAAGTCCATAAGGCCAATAAATGTCATAAATAATTATTTTAGCGACTTTCTTGGAAAGAAAGAACTTTGTTTCGCAACATACAGTAAAATTCCGAAAATAAGCCCCTCAATGTATAAGCCCGTCCAAATATAAGCCCCCCAAACTGGTAATTCAAAAAACCCTCCGTTAAATCGCCCCTCCAAATATAATCCCCCGGGGGCTTGCACTTGGAAAATTGCCCTCAAATACAATGTAGAACAAAGCAAAAATGGTAAATTTCCTTCCAACTATAAGGCTAGCCCAATCGATTTCAAAACGCAAATTTCCTTCCATAGATAAGTCCCTCCAAGCATAAGCCCCTCCAAAAATAAGCCCCTCGAAAAGGGCCTTTGGAAAATGTAAGCCCTGGGGCTTATTTTCGGAATTTTACGGTATAACTGTACATTATGTATCCATTTTGTTCACTTCAGCTATAGTAGAGATGCTACTGATGGCAGGATCAAATGCAAACGATCAGAGTGGTGAGCATTGTTCTGGCGTAACACCCCTTCATGATGCCGCAGCCAATGGGCATATTGAAGTGGTAAAACTTTTACTGGCACATGGTGCTTCCATCAATCTTAAGGATAACAATGTAAGTTTGCTCTCTCACTGGTATAGTGCTTAATACTAAAGTGATATGCCAAGAATTTTGATAGCTGCCCCAAATTTTACTTTGTCACAGCTGAAACCTCCTTTTTTATTTGGTAAGTCTGCATTCAGTATGTATAAAAAACTCATCGCCAATTGATGAGCTTCGGAACTGGTGCCTAAAAGGTTAGCGGGGAGGCCAACTGTGAAAAATACGGCAAAGGAGGTAACCAGGCAACCCTGGAAGCGGGAACCACCCCTGCCAGCAGCCGCTAACTAGCACCGTCACACTGAGAGGGTACTCAGTGGAAAATACTTACCCACGTGGAATACTTACCTGCACACCCCCGCATGACAGCAGGGAGGGAGGAGTGAGAGCAAGAATCCGCCAAGATTCGCCAGCACAAAGCAACAAGGTGATCCGCAACGATCAGCTAGAATAGCTTGCAAAATAATGCAAAATGATAGCGGCCCTGAAAACCCAAGTGGGCCACCCCGCATGTCACGCATGCTAATACGGGGACACCGCTGGCTGCATTGGCTCGAGGTTAACTTAGCCTAAATAAAATTTAGCCGCATTTAAACTCATCGCCAATTGATGAGCTTGGGAACTGGTGCCTAAAAGGTTAGCGGGGAGGCCAACTGTGAAAAATACGGCAAAGGAGGTAACCAGGCAACCCTGGAAGCGGGAACCACCCAAAGAACACATCTGTCTCCAAGTGCTTGGAGAACGGAGGGACCCGCGAACAATGGGAAGCCTGGTACCTCGGTACATCCAAAGAGAAACCCCAAGCACCAGAGACGGACCAAAGGCAAGCCTGCTAGTTAGGACGGGACTTACCGCTGAGTAAGCAGTCCAGGAAAGCCCCATGCTTGTGGTGCGGCAATGCGGACTCCAGAGGCAATAGACCAGATGTGCATCATGAAAGGCATAGCCACTGTTCACACCGTGCAGCAGGAGCTTACGTGTACTTTCTCCTCCATGACCAAGCTAGTAGTCCCAGAGTTCATCCCAGCGAGCAGTAGGTAAAGGAGAGCCGAAGATGACCAAGTATACCCTGTGTTGCCATTGAAAAACTAGAGCACTGATAGTTGAGTAGACCAAGCCTTGACCTTGGAGTTTATTTTGTTTTTGTTGTTGTGTTTTTTTTTTATTTTTGTTTTTTTTGTTTTTGTTTTTGTTTTTGCTTGTTTATGTATAAGTAATGTCAAACTAGCTTCTGCGAAAGTGTAGGCAGCGACGCCGAAGGAGTCCTGATATAGAGCTGATAGGCGTTGCTAGACCAACGGCCCATGGCTTGAATAAGATGGTCTGGAACTCCATTACGAGCAGCCACTTTGGCCGCCCCAATGCGAAAACTGTGGCTGGAAAAATTGCCAGGAACCCGGGCTGAGGCCATAATTTGTCGAAGCCATGCAGTGAGGGTAGCCCTGGACAGAGGTCGACCGTCTTGAAGCAAGAATAAAGGGCCCGCAGAATTGCCCCGCAGCGAGAGATAAGTCATCAGTGCCGATAGAGTGCAAAGTGGCAAATGGCCAGCACCAATGTGGACATAACAGCGTTGCCTAAAAGGGTCAGTCTTGGAGCCCTTGATGTGAACTCTCATGCAGGATGGAGAGACCATGGAGTCCACGCTAATGTCTTGGACACTAAGATGGAGTGATGGGGAGAAACTAGCCAAGTCTGGTACAGTGAATTCTGAAGCGCGGAGGAAACCAAAATAGCCAAGACAGCAAGCAGCCCAAAACATGCAATGGTCGGGGAGGCCGAGGTCCAGAGAGTTCCAAATAACCAGCATAAGGTCATCCGTGATCGGCAAACGACTGGCAACAGGAGAACCTTGGCAACGCTTGATCCCTCGTAAAACCCGGCGGAGGCGAAGGCAACCGGCTAATGGGTCTGAGAACCTCTGATCAATATGAAGAGCTCTTACGCCAGACAAATAAACTTTGATGGATGCGTGCTGTAAACTTGGACTGAGCCGTGGAGTAGGATCGACGCGTAGAGGGAGCCAAACCCTGGCACAAAAAGGACTGGCATTGGAGCTCTAAAGCGGAGAGGTCAACTCCTCCAGAAGCTGAGGGGGAACTTGGGTAGGAGACCGCTGCGCCTCGGGAGCCAGCTGCCAAAAGCGCTGCCAATGAAAACGAGATAATGCATCAGCAACCTGGTTGTTGACCCCCGGTACATGCTGGGAAGAAAAGGAGAAACTATGCCTAGCAGCTGACAATAGAAGATGGCGCAATAAATGCATAATGCAAGGGATTTTGGACGTTCTTGAATTCAAAATATGCACGACCGCATCGTTGTCCGAGTGAAACAGGACATGCCTCCGACACCACATGTGTCCCCAAATGTGAGCCGCAACGACCACAGGGAACAGTTCCTTGTAGGCAATGGACTGCTGTGCTTGGAGAGGAGACCACAAACCCGTGAACCAGAGGCCTTTCAGAAAGGCCCCATAGCCCAGGGAGCCAGCTGCATCCGAGGAAAGTTCAATATCCGCTTCCGGAGATAGGCCAGGAAAAAGCCAAAAACTAACGCCATGCCAATCAGACAAGAACTTATGCCACCACTGCAGGTCAAGATGAAACTGAGTGTTGAGGCGGATAGGATGGTCTCTCCTCCCAAAGCAACAGAGTAGGTCAATCATACGGCGGACAAAGGTTCTACCAGGCCAGACTACTTTAGCAGCATGATGTAAATGTCCTATTAGAGATTCCAATTCTTGTCTGAAGCACCATTTCCGGGGGAGGCAAGAGTGGATTAACCCCTGAAGAGCCTGCAGCTTATCCACGGGGAGGCGTGCCATCTGAAGGTCAGAATCCAGCTCAATGCCTAAAACTGTCAACACCGACGAAGGACCCACGTCATTACCAGGGTGGAGAGGTAAGCCAAGACGATCACAAACGGCCAAAGCGACTGTAAGATTGCGAGCGCACTGAGGAGAATCTGGGGGGCCAGCAGTAAGAAAATCATCCAAATAGTGGAGCAAGTCAGGGATCTGATGATTGTTCATAAGGATCCACTCCACCAGGTCTGCAATGGAGTTAAAAATGTAGGGTGCCGAGTGAAGACCGAACGGGAGAGCCAAATCCACATAAAAATGATGGCGCCATTTCATTCCCAGCAGGTACCGATCCAGTGGGTGGATCGGAACCTGGCGGTAGGCAGACTCCACATCAAACTTGGCCATAAGTGCCCCTCGGCCAAACTGGGAAACTAGGCGAATCACCTTATCTACAGTGATATAGTGAAGGGAGAACTCGTCGGGATTGATCCCATCATTGACACTAGCCCCCCAGGGGAAGAAAGGTCCACAATCAAGCGCCACTTTCCCGGCTGCCCCCGCTTGGGAATAACCCCGAAGCTGCTAACGTGCAAGTTTGGTAAAGGGGGGGAAATAAAGGGGCCTGCCACCCGGCCTAAGGAAACTTCATGGGCCAAATACTCATCAACCACTGCAGCATGCTGTAGCGCAGAAGGTTTATTATTCTTGGCAGACTTGAGCTTGTGCGATGGGGAGAACCCCACCCGGAACCCATTACTAATCCCATCCAGCACATAGTTCACTAGTTGATGGTCAGGATGATGCTGAAGTTCCAAAGCAAATTGATCTGCTTGCAGGGGGGTCACGGACGAAACTAGGGGAAGGGACCCTAAAAAAGATAAGACAAAGAGAATATAGTAATACTACGGGGGACAGCAAGATAACAAACAGAATAACTAGCAACTGAACCAACAAGCTTTAATTCAAGAAAAAAGTAACGACTGTAGACTAGGCAGGGTTAACAAGGACATAGCAATAAAAAACACAGAGAGTTTGAGCTGTCGGGAAAAAACCTAAGCGAGCAATTGGTTTAGTTCAAAGACGCCTGGATTTGCTCCTGGATCTTGAAGGTGAGGAAGAACGCCGCTTCACGGTGTCATTGGGTTGGTTTGATGTTTGGCCAGGGCAAGCACTAACACGATGCGGGCCAGAACAGCTGGAACAAATATGGGCGAAACGGCACGAAGCATAGGGAGCCACGCACCGTCCCCGATTCCACGACTTGCGCACAATAGTCGAGGAGGCAGATCCATGAGGCTCGGGAGACCCATCTACGGGAGCGTTGGAGGCTCGTACAGCCGCTCCCACGGCATGGAAATTAAAAAGCTGCACATTGATGGACGACCACTCGGTTAAATTCGTAGCTGCCGCGTGCTCGCGGAATGCACGGTCATATGCGAACCAAACCCGACCAGTAAATTGTTGGTGCGTACGCAAAATAAGTAGCTGGTAGTTCATCAGGTCTTTCAAGCGATGAGGGAAATGGGAAGTGAGAATGAGGCAGTAGATGGAAAAGGCCTCCAGCCAGCTGGTGATATCTTCTATGCGCCGTTTGGGTTTCTTTGGCGTGGACGTGAGAACAAGCCGTCCTTCGAAGTAAAGTTGAGGTTCGGGCTCCGCCAAAGCAATGTTCGAGGAGAGCAGCTCGCTCAAGTCGACGAATTTGCCAGCGACGATTTGGCCCACCAACTTGGCGGGGATGGGTGAGAAACCCGGGCCGACGATGAACGGTTGCTGTAGTGCAGGAAGGGATGAAAACGAGGACACGCTCGCTGATGAGGAAGGCCCAGAAGCAAACGAGGGAAGAGACACCGCAGGTGAGGAAATCGGAAAAGTAGAAATAAAGGAGGGCACAACATAACTAGGCCTACCTTGGGACGCTGAGCTTGCAGGAGTAGGTAAAGCGCCGGTGCCAGAGGTCAAAAAGGCCGAGGCTTGGGAGGCAAGATTGCTCGAAGAAACCGGAACACCCCCAAGCATGGTTGTAGTCGAAGGCTGTGAACTGGGGTTCGGAACCGAGCGGGCCGGTGCTCGGTCGGCAGCTAAAGCATCTTTCACTGCTTGCACAACAGTTGCCAGGAAGGCAGGAGACGGCTGATCTTGCTGGAGAGCGACAGCCGCGACAGCAGGAGAAGCAGCAACGAATGGGCCAGGGGGATTAGCCGCCGGATTGGCGATCGCCGACGCACAGGATGGTTCGGCCGAAACTGCGGTGGATAAGGCATCGAGAGCTGCAGACTGGCTGTTGCGAGTCGAACGAGATGACATGATAACAGACTTTCCAAGCAAGAATCCGCCAAGATTCGCCAGCACAAAACAACAAGGTGATCCGCAACGATCAGCTAGAATAGCTTGCAAAATAATGCAAAATGATAGCGGCCCTGAAAACTCAAGTGGGCCATCCCACATGTCACGGATGCTAATACGGGGACACCGCTGGCTGCATTGGCTCGAGGTTAACTTAGCCTAAATAAAATTTAGCCGCATTAAATAAAAGTGTATAATTGTTGTAAGCAGTTTTTAATTGTCAAAACGAATGAAGAAGAAAATGTAACTTAAAATGTAACAGAAAAATAGCCTGGTCAATTCATTACAACTTTCATGCCTGCTGTCCAATAGTAACAAATGGAAGTGGGCAGAACTAAAACACAATCAAGAACTATCATTTTACCAATCACTGACAGGGTTGCAATTATTGATTCTTCAGTTCATCATTATGGGTATGTCATGTTGGACTTAAAGGTCTTCCCAGTTACTTTCACTTTGTTCTGAGCTCATTCCCTTTTTGATTAGTATTGGGTTTTTGCTCTTGGTTGTCTTTGTAATATTGTACAAATGAATCAACCTTCACATTGCTGGATCTAACCCAAGATGCTCAGAGTGTGGTTTGCACTTGGTTGTGTGTCATCTTACTTTACGTTCAACAAAGGGCTACCACTGTCGGTCCATTACTGTGGCAATTGATTAAAATGCCATAAGATCACCTAAGTAGACATTTTTGATGAAGAGGGGGTCTTGGACAGTTTTTGAAAGTTAATTCTTAGAATTTATCCATATGAACTCAATGGAAATGCTCAAGACTAATGCACCTGTATATCTTTTTTGTTACCAGGGACGTACGGCATTAGATGCTGCCGAGGCAACTCTTAAGGGGAATGCTGGTGAAGATGATGATGAGTACACAAAAGGACGAAAAAAAGTAGTCAAATTTTTAAGGCAATGCTTAGCGCAAGGGGATGGTTCTGGGATAAGGAGAAGAAATGTTATTCATGATGAGGATAATGAACAAGAAGATAAGGAGGATACAGCTTCAAGTACTTTACAAAGATTTAATGAGAAGTTAAAAAAGAAAGAGCAGGAAAGGTTGAGAAGAATGAATAAGAATTTGTGTGAAGAGAACAATCCAGAGGACCTGGAAATATGTCCAACAAAAAGATTAAGTCAGCAACAAGTTTTTGTAAATGCGGATGAAGATGACTCACAAGAGGGTTGTTCCATGTTTTCAATCTCTACTAACCCTTACTCAGGTATAGAAAGCTCGTCTTATAGTGATAGGCCTGTTGACCATCCGAGCAATTCACAGTACAGTTATAGAGACCATGGTGAGGGTATACAAACATTTTCTGATGGTAGTGACTATGAAGGACATGATTTTGTCCAAGTCGATTGCCCTTATGCATCTTCAGACTCTGAGAACACGGTTGAAATGGCTACAGTAGCTGATGAAAATAATGGAAATACTTTTAATTCATCTTATGTGGACCCTGTAACTGGAGTGAGAATAAGTTGTCCCACAAGTGGGCTTTTACCTGAAAAGACAGCTGCATGGCTTGTAGATGATGTTGGGCCAAAACCTGCAAAGCGTAAGCGCCCAGCAAAGCAAACAAAGCTAACCGGTGGATCAACTGTACAGAGGCGGTCAACTGCTGCTATGCCTCGGCCTGGGCTAAACCATAAAAAATCCAAACCCACGACAATTTCAAGACGTAGTCCTGGCCTAAGCCTTAGTAGGCCAAAACAAGCAAAATTACCTGTATCAAAGGAACCCAGAACACGTCAAACTGCATTCTCTTCTCATTCAATGGTGAATAATGCTTCATCTCCAGTGACTGCCAGATCAGATGTCAATATTACCAATGTTACAACAGGGACCCCAAGAACTTATTCTCCTGATATACCTTCCAGGCTAGGTCTGTTGCAAGCAGGTACCCCACCCATGCGCCTTAGAGTACGGGTTCAAGACAAGGTGTTCTTGATCCCTTGTCCACGGAGTAATCATCAAGAAAGCAAGAATATTGGTTGGCTAGCTCAGCAGGTAGTGAATGTTTCAGTTGTTCTTTTTTCCTCCTGCCATAATATAGAAGGAGATTATAAAACCCATAGAGAATTCCATTTTTTCAGAGGGAAATAAATGACAAAAAAAAGTTGGATTTTTATGACACTTTATGTCTTGTTTATCAGCCTTTTTATATTTAAAAGGTCATTAATTTCATCCAGAAAAGTGTTGTAAATATGTGCAGTTCTTTCTAAATGCTCAGTTTAATTCTGGTTATTTGATGACTCATCTGTGTGGCAGTTTCACTAAAACTGTGAAAGGTTTGAACTCAGGAGTCATTTCAAAAGTAGGTTGAGTTTGATCGTCCGGGTGAACGTAGTCCTGAATAGGACTGTTGTTGTTGACAGTGACTGACCTTTCGACAACCTGTGCGGTAGTCATCTTCAGAGTCAAAGTGAGTTGTTTCACTAAAACAGACAGTTAATGCCTATAGTCACATTTCAGTGCTATATGGTGTTAATGGGCCTCCAAAAAGGGCAATGCATCAGTTTCTATAGACATGGCCTTTGTGAGTTTATTTATGGGCTGATGGTTGCAGGAAAACATAACATTTCATGCCGTTAAGAATTGTCAGTTTGGAGGCTGTTCAACTGCTGGCGGGTCACATGAGCATTAACTTATCTGCATCTGCATTTTCAGGCCTCACTTCGATATTTTTCCAGTTGTGGGTTGCGACCTGTTTTAGCCCTAAAAACAAGTGAGGGAGCCTTCATGTCCCCAGAGGATAAAATTGTTGATGTACTTTCAAGTAACGAGGAAGTTATAGCTTCTGTGGAATCGTGGGACCTGCCTACCTTGTCTGAGAGGTACCGTGATGCTTGCATGAACACAAATACAGGTAAGTTAATTTATTAGTTTGCATAACTCAGTTCAATATCAAACATTCTAAAACAAAAGTGTTAGGGATTCCGTCTGATAATTCCCTCAGTATTTTGTTGTGTTTAGAACTTCAGATGAAACACTTTTTGTCTTGTACTCAGTTTTGAAAATTGTAGTAGTAGTCCATGATGTAGATCCTGAAATTCTGACATCAAAAGCCTACAAGATAAGGAGGCGTATGAAAAGAGAAAGAAATTTTAGGTTATAATGTTACCTTGATAGTCATGGTCTAATATAAAACTTACTATTTAAATTAACTAGCAACAAGACCAGATGTTCTATCCATCCTTGAAGCTGATCCTCAGTTGTCAAGCCTTACTTTATCAAACAAAGCTTTGCAAGATGTCCATGTACTGCCATTATTCAGAGCACTACAATGCAATGATGTACTTACTAAGCTCATGTTGCCTGGCAACAGAATAGGTAAGTAAATGTCTCATCCTTATCTTAAACCACTACTGTGTGAAAAACAGGGCCAAGGCCATCATGGGCAATGGCTCATCTTTTTCAAGGGCATTGTGTGTCATGCAGGGGTTCTAGGGATCCCACGTCGAGGGAAACATACCCATGAGGGAATTTTCCAAAGAGCGTTAAAAATCAAATGTTGTTTTGTCAAGGGAGGTGTTAAATGCAGACCATTCAGTTATACATCTGAAAAATATAAAAATACAAAAACGAGCTGGCTTAATGAACTCAGGACTTATTTGCCACTGAAAATTGGTGAATGGTGAAAAATATTTTGCCCAGGCTTATTATTTTAGCAAGCTTTAAAACCTTAAATTTGGTACCAACCCTTAGTTTTTGATTCAATTTCTGTAGGTTTGTAAATAAGTTTATTTAGACATCGTTTTTTGTTTATTTGTTACAGGTGATTCTGGTGTTCAGCATTTGATATCAGCAATTCCCACCCTCCCCTCACTCGCTATATTGGACTTGACTTCCAACGGAATCACGCATAAAGGGCTGTCCCTTATTACCAATGCGTTATCTGCAAGAGATTCAACAAGGACAGACACACAACAGGTATCTAGTTTAAAGGGTAATTGTCCACTATGCCCCACTCTGCCCAATAAGCTCATGGCTCCCACCTTTTGCAACCAAATAAAAAGCGAGAACAAAGCAATTAGTTTGAAACAAAGGGCTAATTACACAAATGAAAGTAGGTTACACACTTATCACACTGACTTTTGCCAAATTTCATGTAGATTTGTACATGTGGCTTCAACTCACATTGTCCTGAGTTTGTTTTTGTGGGATTGTGTTTTCCACCTGCACAAACTCAAGCCTAAATATTTGCAACAAACTTTATTTTAGAAATAGCCTGATGTGTTACTCTTTTTTATTATATAGACACGAGTGTTTTACTGGAAAATATACCACTCGTAAAATTCATAAAAACTACATCCGGGACCTGAGTGGTTTATTCTCCATAATCTCACACGTGAGTTTATCGATGACGTTATCTTGGCAATTTCCCTCTATTATTTTATCGATGTCATTTTGTCTATATATGATAAAAAGAACATTACACGGCGGCTTGAAGATATGAATTTTATTTTCTTGTGGCAAAAACAATATTTTACTCACTCGCTGCGCTCGTTCGTAAAATATTGTTTTGCCACTCGAAAATAAAAGTCATATCTTCGCGCCACCATGAAATATCCTCTATGTATTGCAGGAGACCCCCCTTCAGAAGCTTGAAGAATTCAACATCAGCTACAACTGGCTGGGAGACAGTTGTGGCAGTTCATTGGCTGTTATTCTCAAAAGATGTCCCATTCTAAATGCTCTAAAACTTGAGTCATGTGGTCTTACTGGTCAACTTGCTGCTCAAGGGAAAGAGTTTGCTCTAGCTCTGAAAGGTAAATATCTCAATTTTTAAAAAGCTCAAATTATCTCATATTTTGTTATGGTTATTGATTAATAGGCCATTTGCATGATGGCGTCATTTTAATACTACGACCAGAATCCTTTTCGTTTTCCCTTTTATATTTTAGCTTGGTATTCCCAGTGAGGTTTCGAAAACAAAAGCCCGAATTTGCACAAGAAAGCAAAATCCTGAAGGATTCTGGTCGTAGTAGTAAAATGACGTCATCGTGCAAATGGCCTATTGGCAACAGAACATCAAGTTCAGTTGGTAATCATACTCAGTCTTGATTAAGTTCGATTTTGTTAATCACCCAAGTGAACTCCACTCAGTTCTATTACCATTATTAATCCAAAAAGCATTCCTAATCATTGTTTATTGTGTCCCTACTCTTAGCTTCTCATTTGATTCATCTCTCTGTGGCATACAATACCTTTGGTTCTCAAGGAATAGGAAACTTAATTATGGCACTTCCACGTGGGTCACTGCGTCACTTAAACTTGAGCTCAACCATGGATGAAACAGGAAGTCAAGGACTTTCAAATCTGGTTGATTTCATGGAAGTATGTGAATAATTTTCAGTTGAAGTTAATGGTGAATAACTGAGACAAAAACATCACGCAAATAGGCCAGTTTTGAACTTACAAAATTAGAAATCACATTGATATTCAGGGCTGAATAATATTCATTTCTTTTGTATTCTTCCTCTTAGCCTTGGAGCTAGGTATGAATTGTGATAAGCTTAATGAGGCAATGAGGCAAAGTGATGAACTTAATTCATCCATTTCATCAGAAAAACATTATACTGTGTGGGTGATCAAATGATTAAATTTTACATTTTTATTTACAAAATTTTGAGGACTTTTAAGGTGGCTCTGAGCTCCCTCCATACAACTTTTGGCATACCTTATGAAATGTTTATAATTACAAAAATGCTGCTCACTGGAATTGATTACTGTATGTAAGAGCCCAAAACTGAAATGAAGAGCATTTATCAAGTAATACTGTGGCTAGGTTAATCTTCCACCTCAGTGAAAATCAACTACTTACTGAATAAATAAAAAAAATAAACTAAATGTCCATTATTTACCTTTGGCAGTGTTTATAGCAATGATGCTAGTGGGGCCGAGCAAGTGACTGAAACAAATTAATACTTTAGATCAAACATAATAGGGTTGAGAATCCCAACTGGCCGGAGGTAAACCAGTAGGAAATTTACAGCGTGGTCGAGGATTTGAACTCAGAAGTACCGAGAACAAATTCAGCTAGTGGTCAGGGCGTGACTTGAACTCGGGCCTCCAAATTGCAAGTCCATCGCCCTAACTGCTCGGCCATGCTGCCTCCTTTATGGGTCGACATGTATCTTTTGGTATTTTTATACCAAAATAAATGTTAGAAAGACAGTCAAAGCCACATAAGCTACTAACTTGTGTTTCTATTAGATTTCCTTGACAACAGTTGATATATAATAAATTTCTATTTTCTATGTCACAGAGGAGTATTTTTTCCTTTTTTCAGGGGGAAACCTGTGTTCTTTCTGATCTGATTCTCGAGGATTGTCACATTGATGACAAACTGCTAGAGTCCTTACTGAAGGCCACACACATGACCACTGGACTGCAGCATTTAAATCTGAGTTGCAATAACATTGGAAAGAATGGGATTCCTTTACTTGCAAGGTTAGTCTTACAGACCTTTGTGTTTCTTTTTTATGGACATGTTCTAAGATATTAAACAAAAGACTGGACTTTTTCCCCTGTTATCAGAGCTGTAAACCAGATTGGGTCATCAGGAAATTTCCAACAAATATTTTGTTTGTGTTATGTCACTAAAACAGGGAACAGGGAACAGGGAATGAGCTTGGGGAATGGGAAAATGAAAAATGGGAACAAAACAGAGAACTGGAAATGAAGTTACTGATAGGGATATGCAGGCCTATGCTTTAAAATAAGACCACTTTCCCAAGTTTTAAATGCCTGATGTCACATTTAGAAGAGCAAAGTTCATTACTTTATGAGTGGCCCTAGCACACAAGATGATATGCAGGAGAATGTTCTGCTTTTAAATGAATATCCTCTTTATCCTTTGGGTATTTTTTTTTCTTTAGGCTATTGAATGAAACTGGATCCAAACTATCAAGCCTCATTCTCACCGGAAATACAGATGTGGGAACTATCGAAGCTGCATCATTATTAACAGCTGCTAAGGACAGCAGAACGCTTCGAACACTAAATTTGTCAGCGTGTGGAGTGAAGTCTCCTCTTGGTGTGACATTTTTTGATTCTTTTAGAACTTTGGCATCTCATAACCTTGGTTGTTTGAATAAGCTGGATCTGTCTCATAATCTTTTAACTGTCACTGATAGAGAACAACTGGCAGAAAAATGGAATTCCAGCTGCTCAGAAGACAACTTTGCTTGTTTGGAGAATACACTTTGCATGTTTACAAAATAATATTGCAAGTTACAATTGCTGACTAACCATAAATGGTTATTGTAAATGTTATATAAATTATTGTAAAATATTCATAGTTTTAAAATAATACAGTCCACTCAGCTTCAGTGCGTAAAGGCTGGTTTTCACTAACTTTGGAGTCGTAAGTGGAGTTGTAAGAGAGCTCATGACCTAGTGAAAATCAAAGATCGGAGTCATAAGTGGAGTCATAAGAGAGACGGGATGGGGGTCAGACGAATCAGAATGTTTCCATTTGTTCCGACTCCGCTTACAACTCCATCGCTTACATTCCACTTATGATCCAGTGAAAACCAGATTGTCGGAGTCAGAAGAAGAAGCAGAAGGATAAACCAATCATAACGCATGTTCCGACGCTATGTGATTGGTTTAGTTATTCCATTTATGCTTGTAACTCCAACAATCTGGGGTTAATTTAATAAAAGTTTTACAAGTGTAATTTACAAGTGTGGCTATTGTTTTCAGACTATAAAACAATGACTACACTTGTAAAATTACGCTTGTAAAAGTTTTATGAAATTGGCCCGTGGTTTTTGCAAGATCATAAGCGGAATGTAAGTGGCAGGGTCATAAGCGTAATTGGAACGCTGTTTCCACCAGATCACAGGCTCTACTCTTCTGCATGCAAAGGTCTTTTTCATATAAACAAGAATTTTTAATTGGAAATTTTCTTTTATCATTAAGACCTGCGAGGACGTTGCAGTTTCACAGCCTGTGACAAACATTCTTCAAGATTAGCTTCCTGATACAGTCACTTCTATAACATGGACACTGTCCGAATAAAAAGAAACACTTAGAGTTGCACCCTACTGTTCTTATTCTTTACTTGACTCTCTGTGGGCTAACAACTCTCCAAGATGGCCACCTAACAGTTCTAACAGTTTCTCTTACAGAGAGCTAACTGTGGATCATATATCAGGGGTTGTTGACTATTTTGAGCTCCTCAAATTCCACAACTTTCCATGACTATTTTCATGAACTTTCTAGTTTTCCATGACCTTAGGTTTAGCGGTCACTTCCAAAAATTTTCAAAACTATTCTCGTTTTAGCGATATTTTTCAACCTAAATCAGTTCAACAAACAATCTCTGGTGTCCACCAAAATGCATTTCATATCTGCTGTTTAATTATTCATCTCTATCTTAAATTGTCCTTGCTGTAACATACGCATTAACCAATCTACCAAACAAATTATTACATTCCATGACTTTCCAGACCTAGAAAACGAAATATTGTTAAATTTCATGACTTTCCAGGTTTTCCATGACCCCATATGAATCCTGTGTAAGCAATGCACGAGAAATGCCTCTGATAACTCACGTTAGCCCTGGGTTGAAGTTTTAACACACAGATGTGAGATTCACCTAATGTGTGATTTAGCAGGTGTATTTTGTGCAGCATTCTATAAACGTTCTGGTCACATTTAGAATTGCTGAGGTTTATCGTTGATCTCCTTGTTAATTCTCTGCTCTACCAAGCCCAGAAGCATGTTTTCTGTTGGTATATTATAGCTCACAAAGCATTGCTTTTTTGTCTTTTTTGCTGAGAAGGAAAAAAAAAAAAGAGTCTTGTTGGAACGTTTTTGATAGTTAATAAGTATTGAGTAACAGTTATTTTATCTGCTTTACCATACTGTTGCCTAAACTAAATCTAGGTGATTAAACTGTCACCAAACAGTTATGATGTAGGTGAAATCCATTGTCAGCTTACACCAGAATTTCGTTTGTCCCCTAAGAATATTTAGGGCTAGGAAACAAGGGCATTCTGAAACTCAATCCAACTACAACTGAAGACGCTATTGGTGTCAGTAAAATGCGGGTCTGGGTTGGGGTCTATTTTTTTATTTACAGAATGTTTTAGGGTTAGGGTTAGAGTCAACCCAAACCCTAAGCGTAAAACAACATTCTTTAAAAAAAAAACAGGCAAAGAAACACATTCGGTACCCTCTGTTTTGCTTTGTTGAAAACAGAAACAATAGAGACTGATTAGTTTTTTGTTTTGTGAAACAAAGAATAAAACCAATGAAGTTACAAAACTGTCAAGACACTCTCCTTAAATAGTGTAACTTGAGCGAACAAAACAATCCACACTCCTCCCCCCACCCCTCCATTTAAAGCTTGGATGTTCTTTATTTCCTACAAGTAGCTCAAACAGTGGCCCAACATTGCATGGAGGGGCTGGGGAAGGGAAACATTTCCCCTTTTGAAGTCAGCAAAACATCAAAACATTCCTTAAGGGAAAAGAGCCTGAACTAATTTTGTTGCCATTTGTAGGTTGAATACTGGTTTAACCTGAGAAGGGATTTTACCAGCAACAGTTACATATTGTTGAATATGTCATTGCTTGTTTAGGAACACTAGTACATGGGTGATAGAAAACACATGGGGGGCTGGCAGAGGTCTCTCTCTTTCCTAACAATTTTCTCTTGCTGTGAGGGACTTCTGCTAGTAGGAAACTGCCTGTTGTTGTGCTTCAAAAATTCATTGCAGAGGAAATGGAATGACTTATGCAAACACGTGACGATGCTCGAATTATAATATTCATACACAGAAGATGAACACCCTTCCCATATTTTTTCCTTGACTGGATTGTACCTGAATTTCCAGGGCTTTCAGTAAGGGCTGGGTCATGTATTTGAGCCCCAGACAGTCACATGTAAGTGGAAAACAAAACATGAAGAATAACAGAAGCTGTTTTTCTTCTATGCTAATTCCCTCCTTGGTTTACAGACATGTGAAAGAAACATTGGGGATGGGGGGCAGGTAGGGAGGAGAAATATATTAACCTCCCCCCCCCC